GTCATGCGGCAAATGCTTATTTCAAGACATCAAAGTGCCCACACACAAAACCTTGCAATCACATTGCTCGTCAAAATGACAGTTGGTAGGCCATCGGTGTTTGCCTGTGGAGTTCTGCGGTTAGGTGTGGCTCACAAGCATGAATATGTTCCGCTCTCAAACCAAATCGTGGTTGCCTCAACTAAGATTTGGTAACTATGACTAAACCATTTGTTGAAAGAAAGCTGACCTGCATTAGCAGAGCTTAATAACATCCTTTTATGAACCATACGTTAAGTTGAATGGAATTTGTAGAAATATAATAATAATAATTTTATTGGCAGTTTATTGAAACAAATTTATTGCTTTCGATTCACTGTGATTGTGCTTTTCCTGTGCTGTGATCTGCTTGACTGTGCTGTGCACATGAAGTTTTGCAGCATGGTGTATTATCTACATACTATATACATAAATAAAATGTATATGATTTAGCTGACTCGCCAGAAGTGAGTACTAGCCACAAAATTTGCGATACCATTTCCTTTGCCTAACGAATTTAACATGGCGATGTCATTGGAACCTTCCGAGCGGTACGCGTAGCATGACCTTTCGCTAGCGAGTTGCCGTACAATCAGTAATGTATGGAATCTTTAGTTTATGGTCGTCTCTTGTCACCAGTAGAACTACAGGGTAGTGTATTTGTGCATGTATACATATGGCCGATTCCACCGCCACGGGTGTGACATTTGAACAGAAAAAATTGTTCCTTATTATTCAAATTTAAGTATAAAGTACCGAAGAATTCTACATTTTGAAAAAGCTACACCTAACAGACTATTATATGAGTTATTACAAAATACGAAAAAAATGCCAGCTTACTTTTATGAGGAAAAAATCTGAGTTATTTCTTCTGTCACGGGTGGGACAAAAAAAAGAACCTGCTTTTGGGAGCAGATATATTTTACGAAAACTCTGCGAATTTATTTCACTTTTCTGTGTGCACTTGATGTCTTATAATAAAACAAAGAACCAGGAATGCAAACAAAGCAAAAACTACAACAAAAATGATGGATTTATTATTTAAAAAATCCGACATTCCTCTGTTACGGTGGGACAACATTTGTCACGTGTGGGACACGTACGAATTTTTATATGAAAGGGAGCTTTTAGTGTGGTCAATATTAAAGATTAGTTATTCAAAAATATAAGAAGCCAAGTAGGGGTTCAATTCACTCACGTTTTATTTTAGTATAGTGCATAGTATAGAAGAAAAAGCCTAGCACTGTCTGCCAAAAAAATTATTAAAAATTAACGGGATCTCCTAGCGTCTTGAAATTTTCACTTTTTCCTACTTAAATTTAATACGCTGTAAAACTGCATACCTAGAATTTTCCAAAAATTATGAACAAAAAGTTTAAAATTTTTGGGTGTAACTGCTAAAATTTGTTGAAATTTATAATTTTTGTACGAAGTTTGAAATGTGGATTTATGTGGTTCTGGTTATGTAATGTGCTACACTTTTATAAAAAAAAAAAACTTTGAACATTAAATAAACAAAAGAAAAACCCAAAACTGGTCAAAATGTCACTTAACTTAATCAGCTGACCACAAGGGTATATAGGTAATGCGCTAGTCCCCCGCGCATCCCCCCTCCTCCCCTGCGTCCACCTCAACAAACAAATAAAGCTTAGTAGCCCTGTAAATCTACTTGTGGCAACTGTACCACCCGTAGCTGTCACGGGTGGGACATGCTTAACTGTTGAATTATTCTTATCTAACTATGTGGAAACGAAAATGAAATTGTGGTAAACATTGACAATGAAGTTCTAACCAGGGACATAACAGTTATAAGTTTTATAGCAAAAACGTTGCTCCATAACAGTTATTAGATGAGAAATATTTTTTATTTCGCCGATAAGAGTTATAACCCAACGTTTACATTTTACGTTGCCTGATAACTGTTATGCAGGAGAAATATTTTTTCCGTTGCCGATAATAATAATAATAATAATAGATTGGCGCTTACACATATGTTAGTGTTTGGCCGAGCTTCTCCTCCGGTTTGTGGCGTGCGCCTTGATGTTGTCACACGAAGCGGAGGGACCTACAGTTTTACGCCGACTCCGAACGGCGATTGTATTTTTATGAGAAGCTGTTTTTCATGGCAGAAATACACTCGGAGGTTTGCCATTGCCTGCCGTTGCCGATAAGAGTTTATTTTTTTTACGTTGCTGGATAAGAGTTACTTTACATCGTTTATTTTTTACGTTGTCTGATAAACGTTGTAAGATTAGGATGTTGATGAAGATGGAGATGGAGAATAAGATAAAGATGATGAAATAAAAGTGAGAGAGTAAAATAACTATTATCAGATAACGTAAAAATAAACGTCGGGCAATAACTGTTATCAAGCAACATAAAAAATAAACGTTGGGCAATAACCGTTATCGAGCAACGTAAAAAATAAACGTTGGGAAATAACTCTTATCAGCAACGGAAAAAATATTTCTCATCTATTAACTGTTATGAAACAACGTTTTCGTTAAATTTCAGAATTCAGGCAACGTTTTCAATTTGTATATTCGAGATAACAGTTATTTTTGGTCCCTGGTTCTAACATTATGTAACAAACCTGAAACACAACTTCAACGTCTGTAATTAAATATAACAACTTTTACCTTTTTTAGTCACGGGTGGGGGCAAGACCAATACTGCTTAATAACAACTCATAATATAGATAAAGCACTCACAAAATTTAATATGTAATACAATTTTATTAAACGCAGATGAGTTCTACTACATATTTTTCTTACCAAACACTTGAATTAAGAATCGCAAATTATTTGACTGTACTTTCAACACAACTTACTTTAAACCTACTCAAAAAATTATCTTATAACTTGATTTTAAAACGTAAAAATGGCAATAAAAATGCATTTTAAGCTTTAATTTGTTATTTTTTGGTTGATTCAAGATTTGTATTCATATCTTATCCAGACATTTATTTAGTTTTATAAAGAAAACATTTTGCGCTCTGAGGTTCAGTTTCCCATGGAACCTCCCATATAACATCTTCTGTTACTGCTAATTTGATGCATCGCAGCTAAGTTATACTCAAATTTCTATTGCTTTGTGTTGCTTCCACAAATTACTTTTGAACTCTCTGATTGCTTTCGAAATTTCACAGCAAAATGGCAGCCAAAGCATTTGCTTTTTTTCTGAATTTCTGTTGCTTTGCTTTCGATAGCATAAATCCCGCGGTCAAAGAACAGCAAAAGCAAATCGAATTAAAAAATTACAGCATTTTCAAACCCTGCATATAATACTTTAAAACGCCAGAGTACTTGTTTTTAACAATATTTGGAATATAAATAAAATATAGTTCATATATATAAGTGTTATTCTTTTTAACATAAGTGTACACTAGGGTGGTCCAAAAATAGTAAAGTCGGAATTGTAATGCTCTCACCCCCTAAGATTTTTGATCATCGAAAAAAATATACACCAATTTTTTTTATTTTCAATAATAATACCCAATTGTCTATTTAACCATTTGCCCCATTGCATTTTTCGGTTTTTTTTTTGGGTTTTTGGCGGACCTATAAATTATAGTTGCAATGAAAATATGGTTAAATAAACAATTGCTATTACTGGGTATTATTACAGATAAACAGGATTTTCTGGTAGAAAAAGATTGATTTTTACCTATTCTATTCTATACCATTTCTACGAAAAGTTGTTTTCTTCCCCATATAAAATACATGGAAAACTTTTGGCGCTTTGAGCGACCTGTAAATATTTTTTGATTTCAAAATAAAAAAGGGTATATTTTTACGGTATAGAACAATCCTAGGTGGTAAAAGCATAAAAATTCCGACTTTACTTTTTCACATGCATTTTTGGACCACCCTAGTGTACACATTATTACTGCTTTGGGCTGAGTAGGCAATTGAGAAGTAAAGTCCTCGTCGTACAAAGATCATACTTTATAAGTCACTCATCGTGCCTGTGCTGGTGTATGGCACGGAGGCATGGACAATGAAAGCATCTGATGAGCAGTGTTGCCGTTTTAGCCCTTTGGTGGCTAGATTTAGCTACCACATACTTTTTGGGGCCCTTTTTTCAGCCCTTTGGAGAATTTATTCATACTGGGCATGAAAAAGTTGTATATGCTTAATTTGATCTATTTTTTTTTTGCATATATGTAAGAGATGAACTTTTAAACCAGGGTTCGTATTTGCACGCACATGCTCTGCACACACATGTGCTTGAAAAAAGTTCCATTGAGCTCACTGCTCATGCACATGAGTGTGCATTTATAAAAAAAAAAATCTTGCGCACAACTCACGTGTGTGCGCTATGATACGAAACACTTGCTCATGTGTGTGCTTCGAAAATTAAAAAAAAATGCACATGCGCATGTGTGTGCTGTTCGATATAAAGCACATGCTCATGAGTTTGTTTGTAAAATTTTTATGAAGAACACATGCTCATGTCTGTGCTGTGTACAGTGAAAGTCAAGTGTATAATCAGGTGCATATCACTCTATGTTTTTTTTTATATTTAACACATATAAGGACAACTTGTTGCTTTAACAAATACAAAGTGGTTGAAAAGGTTTACTTGTATGTAGATAAAAGTAAGTAATCAAACGTTAATTTAAATTGTGTTATATGGCATTCCAAAATAATATTCACTGTTATGCAATTTTAGTGTGAGGAGATATCATGCATGTCGTTGTCTCTGAAGTACAATAAATCGAAATTTAGTTTTGTTATAAGTATGTTATTTAAGGTAGCATCGTTTAGTTTTGAGCGATGCTTTGTTAAAGTCAATGATAAGGCACTAAATGCCCTTTCCACTGAAACTTGTGTTGCTGGAACAGCTAGAACAACTTCAGCAAGTTTTCTTAGATCTTTATCCGAAGGGAAGGTCTTCCAGTAGCTTAATATATCAGTATCTAAAGAAACTTTTCTCCCATTTGCGAATACACTTAACTTTTGCCGTAAATTTTGGACTACCTCTACGTCACTTGAGGTCTCTACCATATCTTCACAAATATATTTTTCTAAACGGGAAAAAGAGTTGCTGGATGTAGAAGGCAAACATTCAGAATATTGCAAATTCAGATTTTGAGGACTCGATGACATTGAATTTTCGGAGCTTTCCATTCGCAGCATATTTTCGTAGGTTTTAATCAAATGATTCTGAATAAAAAAAATTGTAGCATTTAAAATTACAAAAAGTGTGTGTTTAGTAGATCTCATATATACCTCGGCATTAACTTTTTGTTGTGGAGACAACATGAGAGAGCCTCTAAAATTAAAGCGAGGATCTAAATATAAAGCAGCAATAAACGCATTATTGCTCATAAGGCTTTGTTTCCGGCTTTTCATCGCATCATGCAGCTGCGCAGCGTATGAGACTGTAGAACCAAGATCATGCAACTCTAGTTCACACGACAACCAATCTCTGTAAAAGTCTCCAACCACATATTGTTCGCTTTGCATCCGTTTTGTACATAAGGCAAGAGGTTTAAAAGCTTTATTAAAGTCTACTACAAATTCCCAGTGGAAGTCTTCACTGTCAGGGCATTGCTGCTCTATGAACTCTTTTATTTTCTGCAGTGAGGTTAGCATTTCATATGTGGAGTTCCACCGCGTTAAATTATCTAGTACTGGCATTTGCATATGGCTAGATTCCGTGCGAACTAAAGTACGCACTTTCTTAATAAGGGTTCTACAGTCCTCCAACGAAGAGCCTAGTGTCTTTAGGACGTCATACGCAGCAAGTTGTAGAGTATGAGCTGCGCATCTTACTACTGAAAATACTGACTCTATGGTGCGGTGTAAATTTTCCTCCTCTTCTGCGGCAGTATCCGACTCTTCCAAAATTTTAGCTTCCTGTTCGTCTTGCAGTATTTTACTGGCTTTTATAACATTGGCTCCATTGTCAGTGGTGTTGGAGTACACTTGCTGTAGTTCTAAGCCATAACTTTCTAAACAGTTGATTACTTGTTCTTTTATAAATACTGCCTTATGCCTTTTGTTGAGCCGTACCATACCTATCGATTTTATATAACATAAATTAACAGACGTTTCAAGAAAAACTCAAAACTTACCCAAAGTATGTATACATATCTTGAAATCTTCAATATATTGGGCATTTATTCCAAGTACGCTCTTGCCCATTCTGCTAGCGATATCAACTTTCAAACTAATTAATTTGTGTTTTAATCTGTCAGAAATTGCTTTTTTTATATTTTTGGTGGTATGACTAGTTATATTCACTATATTGCGTGAATTCAAAGTTGTTCCAAATTTACGCTCATATGGTTCGATTAATCTTTTAAAAAAATCGTGGTCGTCAAACAAACGGAACGGAAGGTTCTTTACTGTCACTAAACCCACACAGCATTTTAAAAACTCCTCCTTATCAATATCGATGTTTACAGACCCTTTAGCCTTTTTAGCAACCGTCTTCCACTTACTCGTATTTTTTCTTAGTAGCGATTTCCATCTTGTGGGACAGAGCATAATGTCGCTTCACATTAAATGTATTCGTCCCACTTAATACTTTTGCACAAGTTAAGCACTTAATCTTTTTCTCTTGAACGAGAATCTCATATAGCTCCTTATTTTCCATTTTATTTAAATTAAATTTTTTTTAAATAATATTTGTATGACAGTAGAAGTTAATTGTTTTTGAAAATTAAGACTCAAAATTCAAAGTGTTCCTACTGGATCATGAGTTTCACTGCACACAGCACACACGTGTGCATGTGTTTTATATCGAACAGCACACCCATGCGCATGTGCCATTTTTTTAATTTTCGAAGCACACACATGAGCATGTGTTTTATATCAAAGCGCACACACCTGAGTTGTGCGCAAGATTTTTTTTTGTATAAACGCACACTCATGTGTATGAGCGAAATGTGCTGGGAAGTGCTGCTCATGCGCGTGCAAATACGAACCCTGTTTTAAACTAAGAAAGACTGACATATATGTATTGTATGTTCCTTACGTTTTTATACATACATACTGTATAAGTGTTAGGGCTGTTTTTTAACTTATCTATTAACGATTTAACTATAGTTTAAAATAGATAAGTTTACCGCCCTTAGGGCCAGTTTTTCAGTGCCAGTTTAAACTCAGATTAAGTAAACTGGGTTATAATTGAATAGCTGGCTGACACTTGATTGGCTGATCTTAGTTTAAACCAGGCAGATCGCGCGTTTAAACTTAGTTTGAACCACGGCCGTGCACTGAAAAACTGGCCCCTAATATGCTTCATTAGTTAAATGGCCCATCAAGTCGATTGACCGTGTATGTTCTTGTGGTGTGATTGTACCAGCTGCTGGTGCGACTTCAAAAACTATTTGAAAATTTTATGATTGTACCAGAATGCTGGTGTCGTGAGTGGTGAAATTAGCTCAATTTTCTAAGTAAAAATTATTTTGGCGGAAATTTCAAAGCCGTGTTTGTGGAATATTAAGTTCACGATATTGCAGTTGTGAATTAAAAAAAAAACAATGTTTAACAAAATGGTAGAAAAATTATGAAATTTCGGCTCAAATCATTTCTATCTTTCCTCAACCTCATTTGTAAAGAAATAAATATTGTCCCAGCATGCTGGTAAGTTATATGCTTCGAGCTTGATGGTACAATCACTTGATCGAGCCAGCAAGCTGATGTCGTATATTTCCCTTTTATACGAAAAGGTTTTTGGTTGGATAAAATATTAGCTTTTTTCCAGGGTTCATTGTTTTTCTATACCATTACTTATTGAAAATGTTTGCGTGTATACTTATATATGATTATGTAAGTAAACAATTTTAGCTATCATTTTTGCCACAACGACTTTTTTTTGGGATTTGGCTACCACTAAAAATGCTTCGCGGCAACACTGCTGAAGAGGCGGCTCTTGAAGTTTTCGAGAGGAAGATTCTGCGAAAGATTTACTGACCTTTACGCGTTGGTGATGGCGAATATCGCAGACGATTTAACGATGAGCTGTATGAGCTTTATAACGATATAGACATAGTGCAGCGAATTAAAATTCAGGGGCTCCGCTGGCTTGGCCATGTCGTTCGAATGGACAGAAACGCTCCTGCTCTGAAAATATTCAACCCGGGCCGCGATGCGTTGGAAAGACCACGTGGAGAAGGACCTGACATTTCCAATTGGCGTCAGTTAGCACAGAAGAGAAATGACGTGCGTGCTGTTTTGGACTCGGCCAAAATCGCTTAGGCGGTTACAGCGCCAATACATTTCATTTTGAAACTAATTTTAATTTGAAGTTCACTTCCAAAAAATTTAATTAGACGCCGGTTTCACTCTATGCGCCAGGAAGCAAACTTTATACTTAAGATCCTCTCAGTTTCTTCGTTTGAGTATGGTATTGAAAAAAAAAAACAAAACTACGTGTTTGTTAAAACTGTGGAAAAGTACATCTATTTAAGGACTTCATCTATATTTCCTCATGGCTTAAATAAAATTTGTTCGTGAAAATTTATTTGTGATAGGCTTGCCTACTTGTTATGCTTATAAAATTCAAACTTAGTTTTTAGTTTAGACAAAACTACCACAGAGGATGGTATCGATTTTAGTAGATTTAGTTAATTTAATGACGAATTGTTTGTGAGTACTTTTGTGTTTAATATCTTAGTTGTTCTACCGTGATTTTTATATGTAATTATGAATATATGTATATATGTTTATTTGTTCCTTTATTTAATATCATACATACATTTATATTTTTTGTAACAGATAAATGAATAAACACGCCCCTGAAGATGCTAAGAAGCTTAGCGAAACGTTGGGCCGTAAGTGAAATAACCTCGGTTTATTTACACTAAATAAAAGAGATCAGACAAGCCTATCACAAATAAATTTTCACAAAATACAAACTGATAGGACATACGTAAATAAAATTTTTTCAACTACGCAAAATTTTTGCAAGACTAATTCGCTAAAAAGAGTATCTAACTCTATGTCTTGTATGCAAAACTCTTTTACAATGTCGATAAATGGAGAAAAAAGAATTGTAAGTTATAGGCAAAAGAAATTCGAATATTGGAATTTATTGTTATTAAAATTAAAATTATTTTCGAGATAACAAACAACACTCGACAAAACGATGTCAGCCTTCTTTTTAAATAACACTGGTCTACAAATTTCAACTTTTTTTCTGCGAATAAGACGGGACCTGGTGTTTCTGAACGGATTTTTCGTGCTGAACACGAATCCGGGGTCAAAAATGTCCCATCACGTCACGTTTTCGAGAAAAAAGGGGTTGAAACCCCTAAAAACAGCGTTTTTGGCCATTTTCGAAAAATTATAGAGCTGAACCCTGACGTGGTACAAATTTTGCATATATCAGAAATTAAAGGCTAAACCGTGCCCTTTCGAATGAGCCCTATGCCGAATTGATCGCGTGCACCCTTAAAGCAGGGGGTGTATTTGTGTTTAGGAAAAATCCGTTCGGAAACACCAGGTCCCGTCTTATTCGCAAAACCCTTGTAGACCAGTGTAATTTAAGCTCCATCAGATTATCGCAACTGGTGCATGACGAAACGGGGATATGCCCGTAAAACAATTGATATTTTTGTTATATTAATTTCTTGGGCATATCCAACATTATCTGAAACATGCCAATTATAATTAAATTATTTCCTTCTTACTTTTTACAGAACAGTTTAAATCCAACGTTATGAAAAACCTTAAGAAAATCCTAAAGTATTTTGTTTTAATTGAAAATTCAGTACAAATCAGTACAAATTTTGAAAAATCAGGACATTAGCGTACTGATTGAAGAAATTAATAAAACCAGTACAAGAGTTGAAAAATCAGTACTGTACTGATAAAATCAGTACGTCTGGCAACCGTAAAACTAATCCTTTTTCTGAGTGTAGATAGTAGATTATCTAGAACCTGCCGGGAGCTAAATTACACTGATCCACACATCTGCACTGATAAGAAGTTTTCCACAAGATCCCCGTGAGGAGCGTATGCGAAAGTGTAAGAGACACTGACTCTAGACCATTGCAATATTTAGCGCCGGTTCTATGCTAGTACATATGTAAATAATAAAGTCGGCAGCGGAATCTATTCTGAACTGTTACTAACCCTAAGTAAGCTTACCATGTAACTTGACTTTCAGACGGCGATTAAATCTCTACACTGCAACAATACACACATGTTGGAAGACAGTATTTCAATGTAGAATCGTTAAATACGATATGGTCACGCGATGCACAACGAATATGCCAGGAGGGAAACTAGTTTGCCATCGATATGACCGAAACATCACACTATCTACATATCACTTTTCATTAAATATGCTAACCACAGATTGGTCACGGAACTCACTAATGTGTTAATTAGGTAAATCTGGCCAGAAAGTTATGGAAACACATCTACGTCTCGATCGTCTCCCCATAACATCAATTAAGGTTGTATTATCGCCGAGTAATGTCTAATGGGGATACCCGGGCTACCCTTCTAATGACTTCTGTCGCAGTTGCAGGAACGAGGCGGTAGAGAGAATCGATAAATTTTTTCTGCCCTGACCAACGAACATTTAGTTTACACAACGATTAGAAAGTAACTGGAATGCTAATGTGCTTCTCTAAACTCCTCCGAAACGGCTTGACCGATTTGTGTGAAGTTTTTTGTGTGTTCGTAAAGTATATTTCTTAACGCTAAGTAAAGGGGACGGTGCACCTCCAATACAAACCGAATTTTTCATACTACATATCTCTGGAAGTGTTCGTGGTAGAGTACTGGATTTCGGTATTGAGGCGCATGAAATTAATGGTATACTTATGGATATTAATTGTGGCTATTGGAGAAGGGGGAGTGGAAGTGTTCATGGTAGAGTACTGGAAATCGGATTGGATATACTTATATACAGTCAATGCCATACTCATGTAGAGAATGAACTTGGTAGCGGGGATTCCAAACAATAGATCCGTATTCTAATATAGGTCTAACTAAAGGGGTAAAAAGAGCTTTTGTTACATAAGAATCTTTGAACTCGTTTGACCATCGCTTTAAAA